AAAATAAGTACGTGATGGCACAAAGTCCAAAGTGTGGTCCTCGCTCATTCCTCGTACGGGTGTCGATGTCCCAATGACACGCAATTTTTCTCGAGATAGCAGTGCTTTGAGCTACGTTGTCTAGGAATCAAAGTTTACGTATCCATACTACGTACACTACAGACAGTCGCGACAAACTGCATACACTAGCTATGGTAAAAAAAGCTGCGTTTGATAGCTAGAATAGATGCAGTATAAAATCGTAGAAATTTCTGAACCTCTGCCACGATGTAAACAAAACTCAATAGTCTTTGAACATAAATTGTGTTTGGCGTGCAAAATCTCCGCGATTCTGGCTCAAAATGCTACGAATCTGCCGACTGTGTGGCAGCCTCATTGAACTGCAGCACCTTAAAAACCCACTGTGATAAACCATGTACTGGTAAAACCGGGATAGCTCTGCTTTCTAATAATCTATTGCGAATAATAAACACTATAGCCAAGTAAAATCGGTTATATTGTGGCAGAGTGGCACATTATACGGCCGACGCGTGTTGCTCCTATTTGTAACCTGGTATGGGGCCGGACGGGATTTAGGTAATATTGCTTTTTTAGACCAGTCCGGGGGCAACCCTCTATACCGCAGTACGTGCACCGTACCGGTAGTACCACGGTTACTTTGCGTGTAAGTGGTGTACCGGCTTTTTTAGCTATTTTTATCCACATCAATTTTAATTTTCACTTCCTCGTTCATTGCCATAGCTTTATAAATTACATCTCTGTCGATCGCATCAGCCATTCATGCTATATTCGCGTGATCTCAGCACCTGATTCCTATATGCCTAGTAGATAGTCTGCGCTATTTTATTTGTAACATACTTCATTTACTTCAGAGCTGGTTCATAGGCCGTACGACAACTGCCTACTTCTCGGCTCATGTTTGTTCCAAAGAAATTTAAACAAGATGAGTGCAAGATCTACAAGAATAACGCGACGCGGCGACTGGCCAGGCGTTTTTCTATGATGCGGCAGCGTTGCCTTTGAGTGGGAGAACAGGGCACGATCGATCAAGAGCGCGGTAGCGCCAGTTATCACTAAAGCAGCCCCACAATCTTTGACCTTCAAGTTATGATTACTTCTGACCTGTTTCTTGAAATCGCGTATACCGTCGGTTAGAAAAATATTCGTGGAACCCAACTTCTATTAGTACATGTTATTAATAAATGTATCTAAAACCGATAGCAACTACCTCTTACCTTAAAGGAATTAATAGCGTCCATTGATTAGCTAAATGCTGACAATTCTAGAGTTAACTGGCCGCTTTGGTGTAGTTAATAAGTACATTACCTTATAGCCCAAACGCGTATTAGTTTGTCAAATATCACTGCTGGGTACTAAGAAATAAATGTTCTAATTGAAAATCGCCAGTCCAAGAAATCAGTTGATCCGAGTTGTGTTTACAGTTTCTCAAACCGGGCCTTGCCGGCGAAAGCGGTATGATAGCAGATGTATTAGTGCCACCGGACATTTTCAGCACGCTAGCTCGGCCGTACGCAATGCCTTATCATCATGATTTCGTAAACACGGACGCTTTCGTGATAAGAACTTTTTGTCCCAGGGCTGTCCATGTGCATCTGTGATTGAGTACGTGTTTTACTCCATTATCCGATGTTTAGTCGTGGCCGTGGTTAGCACCGACTGAGTGGTGTCATACTTTCCCGGTCTGAGATTGAGGGCACGTTGAATTCCACGTCTTATGACGTCACGTGCACCAAGGCTTTTATAATTATTTCCCTATATTATTATATTTATATTATTATACCCTATAATTTCCTAGAGCGGTAGGTTTAAGTTATTTTTCTTCTTCATCAGTAATATCCTTACTATAATTACTCTCTCCTACCTTCTTTAGTATTCTTGCTGGGCTGTCGCGAGTGCTTCAGCTACGAGCGGGATACGAGTGAAACTCCGTCTTCAGTATAGTTCCTTGGAGTATGAAGCATTATCATTAGAAATAACGCAAGGTTTTTTTTTTAAACAAAGAAAATACCGTTTATCCAATACCATTGCTCAAAATGGTACACACGACAGCCAACTGTAAATAACATATATGTAATATAGCCATGTACGTCCCTGACATAAATATGAGGATGTGAAAGATAAATAGAATTATTGATTTATTATTATTATTAAAATATTTATTCACTCTCTGATAATATTTAATAACACCTATAAGCCCAGACTACTGTCCTTTAATGTCGACTTTGAAAAACTGCTTTACAAAAAGGTATGGGGCGCTGTGAGTTGACGGATGTACAATTATATATACCTTATATATAATATATTATCCTGATCCGATCATTATATATTAATCTTATATATGGACGGAATTAGTACTTAGTGAATCAAAATATTCACTCCCTGACGGAATTGTTAGTGCCTTAATTGGGTTTGTCTCTCTCCGTCTTCGCATGCTCTTCACACACATATTCGGATATATTCTAATACACTCACACAGTACCGCTATAATATACATGAGGGTTGCGCGGTTTAAGCTGGCGTTCTGCGTTTGGCTCGGACTACCTTAGACTATGATCGAAGACTAGTTATGAATCTTTGTGAGGTTTAATTAATATTATTTAAAAAAAAATTTTAACTGCAT